ACTAAGGTTGGCTTTTGCTATGACTATAAATAAGGCTCAAGGCCAAACCTTGGCTACAAGAGCCTGTGTTTACGCACGGACAACTTTATATGTGGCTTTTTCAAGTGTGCGAACATTGGATAGCATACATGTAAAGATGACCCATATCTTCTGCTCCTTCAGATTTCAGTCTTCCATTCATTCTGAAGAGGCATCAGTTTTCACTAAAGTTGGCTTTTGCTATGACTATAAATAATATTTGGGTTCTTGCTACAAGAGCCTGTGTTTATGCATGCAAAATCAAAGTTGTATTTAAACAACAATCAACCTTGTAAATTTGATTTTTAAAATGGTCGAATTATATAAAGTGTCGAATTATCGAAAGTGTCGAATTATCGATAGTGTCGAATTACAGTTTGTTTATTTATTTTTTAATAAGGTCCTCTTATCTTATCTGCAATATAGTTGTATTTTTCGAAATTTTATTTTCTAATTTGTTAATTTTTTATTTTTTTTTCACTCTAATAATATTTATTTAAATCTAATAATTTTTATTTAATGCAATTTAATTAATAATTTATTTAATCCAATGTCTATAGTTTCTTCCCTGAAATTGCTTACCAAACATGAGTCAGTGTTTCCACAGTGTTAACAGTTGGAGTGTTAGAATGCGGAGAAGCAAAATAACTCCCTACTGAATTTCTCAATAGTCTTACTCCCAGAGGAATGCATCCACACCAGTTAACCTCTAGGTTGGTACTATTGTTATGCTTCTGAGAAGTTTTAATCCTAAGCAGGGTCTTTGAAAATGGTACACGTATGGTGATACAGTGCATGTGCTCTCATGTCCTTAAAGAAGTGTAGTTCTGTTGTTTGCAATTTCATTTTCTGATTTGTTAAAATTTTTCTTCTATAGTTTCTCACCTGCGGGTCCTTCGGGTAAACCCGGGGCGTTGCCCGGGTCACTCGGCTAGTATGCCTTATATTATCCTTGTATTGTGAGATTTTACATTATTCTATATTATATAGATATATTATTTTATGGTATATACAATTATACCAGTATATACTTATATAAAAGGGCGTACCTGGATCTGTAAAGAAAAACAATTTTTTTTTCCTTCAAAATATTTCGAGAGATTGCTCCCTCTTTATCAATTTATTGCACATTTAATGGATCGCCTTTTGACTCAAATTATATATACTGTTGTTTATTTATGTATTTTACGTTTTAAATTATTTAAATTATTTTCAGATAAAATATAAAAACTTTTTTTTTTAAACATTATTTAATATGAAAGTTTTCAAATAAATTTCAGCAACTCTATGAGAAAAGGAATATGTATAGCCCTTATGTCTATATTTAACCCATAATTAATCGCGCCCGTTTTTAGGACGTAGGTACTCGCGTCGAGCTTCCCGAGCTCAAATTTTATGATGATAAAAAATGATAAAATTATTTTTCAAAAAATAAAATTTGTATTTTACCTTAATAAATAGACAATAAGGATTAAATTGATAGCAAATTTTATAATTTTATTTTCATAATTACCAAGTCATGCATAAAAATATAAAAACATGTGAAAAAGCAGAGATTTTCGCAGGCTTTGCGCAAATTCTTTTATATCTAATAAATCGCCAATATTCACTGGAAATTTTGGCAAATTTGGTTCGAATGTTCTTTGCAAATGTTCTTATTGCATTTACAGCAAGTCATGGTTAACATGCGGTTCTTGGCGCAAGGGCAAATATTGCACCCTTTTACTAGCCATTTTCAGAGAAAAAAAAGCTCTAAAATTAAACCTATATATTAAAAATTCAATATATTATAAATTAAAAAAAATAATAATGGATGAATAATTGAAAAACAAGTTTTAAAGGATTCCACAAAAACGTACCAGTGACGAGAGAGAGGCCAGGCAGCAAAGTGAAACTTTAACCAAAAGTTTTACGTCAGCACTCGCGACGCGCTTTTGAGGTACGCCGACAATTTTTTTTTTCAAATTCTCCTGTTGCCATTGAGGTTCAAATATGGTTTAAAATGTCGATCTGATGAATAAGTACAGCTAGGAAAATTATCATTTTTATGTATTTTTAAAATTATCATTTCAGAATTTTGAAAATTGAGATGAACTTCGGAGGCTTGGCGCGAGTAGATAAGGGTAGAGCTTGATATTCTCTATTAATTATGTCTATTATTTTATCAAAATTGAAAAAAAAAATATCAAACTGCAAAATAACAGATCATTACTCTAAGGTTATAATAATAACAAAGAAATATCAACATGTTTAGTAAGTACAATTTTTCAATATATTTTAAAATGAGCGTACATAATTCAAATTTTCTAATTTTAACTGGAACAAATTTCAACAGTTTGAAATTTAGAGTTAGAATTTTGTTTTAAAATATTTCATTGCAGTAAGGGCAGTAGAAATTGTTTTATTTTTAAAAGACTCACACGCCTTCATAATAGTTTCGTATTTTGGTAACAGATGGCGCGCTAATGCATCTTAATATAATTATTCCAATAAAAGACACAAATTGATGTTTGCGGAAGAGCGATTGCTCGAAGCATAGTATATATTTATAATTATATGTAATTCTGCTGTCCTCAAAGCTTATGTCCATAGTTCAACTAAAATACCCATTCAAAGAGTCTAGCATCAGTATCACTATAAAAGGAATTTCTAAAAATGCAATATAAAGGATAAAAGCCAGACGATAAAAGCCAGACCTCTTGAGCTCTGGGTCTTGATCTCCGGTCTCGATCCCTGAAATGATCTCTTGACTATTTTTGAAGCCTGCAGCGCTTTAGTTGTGCTTGGCGCTGCCTTGGTTCCCTCAAAACGGCGTGCACTAGCCCTCCTCTCCCCCGGGGTGCCCACGGCCTCGCCGTCGCCTCTCCAGCCCTCTCCTTGGCCCTCCTCTGCGGCGGGTTGCTCGGAGACACCTAACTATGAGTTATGCCTTAAAATGCTTACCGAAGCATGTAGAAGGCACAATAATAGTAAAAATGCAATATAACAGCGGTATGGTAGATTAAACTGGCGAAACCGCTGGGAGGGTTCACCACTGATCAGCCAGGCCCTGCCATTAATTTTTCCATTGCAGTAAGGGCAGTAGAAATTGTTTTATTTTGAAAATAATCATACGCCTTTATAATAGTTTCGTATTTTGATAAAAGATGACGCGCTAATTAATCTTAATAAAATTTTGTTAGAAAAAAATAAATACATATAAGAGTAGAAAAGGAAATTGATGATTTTAGTGGAGAAAAAGAACGTGAGTAATTTGCAATTAAATATGCAAAGGCAAAATCTACGCTTGTTCAATGTTTAACTGATAAACATCTAAAATAATTAAATATGCAAAAATAGAAAAAGAAATGATGAAAGCGCTCGAAAATATATTTGAAAGAAAAGGCGTGTTTACAAAATTAACACTAAAAATACCATTGTTGACTTTAAAATGCGAACATAATTAAAATTTAGAGGCCCATTTTCTCAAATTTGATTCTATAATTCGCGAATTGGATAATATAGGTTCTAAAATGGATGAATCTGACAAAATATGTCATCTGTTATTGTCATTGAATAAAGAGTATGAAAATGTAATCACGGCAATAGAAACAATAAACACTGAAATAACAATGGGATATGTTACTGCAAGATTGCTGGATGAAGAATTCAAAAAGGAAAACAAACAAGTGGAACCAAGGAATAAAGAAATTACGTTATATTCATTCACATTTATATGTTATAATTATTGTATATATATTTAAGTTTAATTAATTAATTGTTCCCACAGAGTATGTATGTAAGATCTCAAGTAAATAGGCGTTAACCGGTAAGAAGATAAGTTTCTCTTTGTTTACGATGTTATAAGTTTCTCTTTTATATTGTTCTCTCTTTTGTAAATCAATAAAGATGATGTTTGACTAATCTTCTTGTAATCAGTTTCTTTAAATGTCTGAGCAAAGTCAACAATGATTGCAGGAGAGGTCATAAGGCTACAAAATGTAGAAGTAAAACGTTATTTATTAAAAGATAAAATAACCAAATACAAAAGAGAGAATTGAAAGGCAAAGAGACAGTCAACCTAGACAACAAGCCTATCAGATGGATGAAAAACTATCATTTGTAGCAATGAATGCTATAGATAGCGATGATCGTTTTATTATAGACTCAGGAGCAACACAGAGCCTGATTAAAGTGAATTTGAAAAATATAAAACAGAATTGAAGATTTTAGAACATAAGGTTGAAATTCATATTTCTAATGGTGAAAAGATGTCAGCTAATAAAAGTGGAACTTTAAATGTAAAAATCAATAATATCCCTATTGCAATTCATGGACTAATAGTTGATGGCATAAAACATAACTTATTGTCAGTAGAACAAATTACACAACAGGGCCACCAAGTGATATTGAAACAATCTCTGATGTGAAAATAATTACCAAAAACCATGAATTAATGTGTAGTAATTATGGAAACTTGTACTCTCCTTAATAGAAATAGACAGTAACCCTGAAAGTGTTATAGCTCATGCTGTCAAAACTGATGACACATTGTGGCACAGAAGATTGGGACATCTGAATATATACAGGTTTGAAGAATTTATGGCTACCAAGTTCACAAGAGAAATGTGAAACCTGTATCAAAGAAGAAAGCATAAGAGGATTATTTTAGAAAACCTGGTAAACAACTAAGGAAATTAGAGAACTGATACATTCAGACTTATCATTGATCCACCAACATATGATGGAAAAATGTATTCTAAGGTACTAATAGATGACTACTCACACTTTGTAGTAGTGAGACTTCTCAAATCAAAAAGTGAAGCCGAACAAAATATAATTGAGTTTATAAAGTTGATAAAGACTCAACAAAAAGAAAACAAGAAAAATTAGAGTAGATAATGGTAAGGAATTTTCATCTGGAAACTTTAAGCAGTTTTGCAGATCAGCCGCATTATATTGTATTATAAATACCTTTATATAATATTTCGAACGGAAAAATATCCAGGGTAGCCTAGTGTGAACATGGCATCTGCCTGGTAAGCGGAACAGTGTGGGTTCGATTCCCATTTCTGGACACTTTTATTTTTCCGTTTATCATTACTCTTAACAATTCATACTTTCATACTTCATCCCTAAAATTAGAAATAATAGTTATTTCTCCTTAAAATAAATTTCGATTTTTCGTTCAGAAGAAACACATGCGGGATAATTTTCAAATATCGTTCTACAGAATATACCTCACCTTACACACCACAACAAAATGGCACTTCTGAAAGAATGAACCGAACATTGATTGATATAGTGAAAACAAAGTTGGTAAAAAAACAATTCTACCAAAATAGCATGGAGAGAAGCCAATTACTGTTCAGCATATGAATTAAACAAAAGTCCAACAAGTGCGAACAATAGAATACCTCCAGTTAGCATATGGTATAAACGAAATGACCTATCCAAACTTGAAAGTTTTTAGCTTTAGAGCTTGGAGACTTATCCTACCCAAACCAAGCAAACTAGATGCTAGAGCAAAATCAATAATAATAGTTGGATACAGTGGAAGCGGATATTGTCTGGGATTCGGAAACTGATGAGGTAATGATTTCAACAGATGTAAAATTTGATGAAATATTTACTTAATTTGACAAGGAAATCATCTCAGACCAAACAGAGCTTAAAACAATAATGACTGAATATCAAGATGAGGAGAAAATGGAAATTAAAAAGACTGCAATATAAAATTAAAAACTATAATTTATAACAACCTTATCTTATACGTTTTATTCTTCAATAATTTATATACCAAAAGGATGATAAAGAAATTATTTTAAACAGTCCTTAATTTTTTTCTATGCAAATGGCATAGATTAAGAAGGATATGCTAAAATTACTTGCTGGTTTTCTTGGGATTTCTGGCCTTGAGTTCTATAGATACTCGTACCAGTAATGGTTGCGAAAATTTTGCTTAACTAAGTGTTTGTAGACATTTTTATCACACCTTCATGCAAATTTAAACCTTTAAATATCTAATAAAACAATTGTAAACTACATTTTAAAAATTCTAAACTTCCTATGAAAAGGGCAAACTTCGCACCAATATCACAGGTCGACACAAAAAAAAACTTTTTTTTTGCCGGAGTAAACCCTATATTGATTTTAATGTAACTTTTCATGCTGTATTCAAAAATGAAATCAGAAGTTTTACATCACCCATAGTTATTTCAGGATAACAATTATTTCTATAAATTGGTATATATAGTAATAATGCAGAAAATGTTACGTAAGCATTTTTTAAGTGAACATCATTACATTAGATAGCGCTTTATTTTTGACAAGAAGAGTTGATAGGTGGAGCCAAAAGCTTTATTTTATTTTTTATTGATTAAATATTGCTCTTTAAGAATCATAAATATTAATTATATATGTTTATTTTATAATGCAATCTGTTTTGCTTTCAACTAAAAAATAACGACAAGCTCTGGAATGCTATTTGCTGAATAACAGTTTTAATATATATATTTAAATTGAACCTAACGATTTGTTTAATAGATTTGCATCAGAAGTGACAGGTAAATTTGAAGTGATCAGTTTATATTTCTCTATCGATTTGCTTTTATAAATCGTGTGCCCTAGACTGTGTCAATATGCCGAGGCGTTGAATTAATATTCCTGATATTTTCTATTACATTTGTGGGGAATTAACATTCAAAGTTCAAAGGCGAAACTTTACACCGCTCATCAAAGAGTGCTATCAACTTTATTTTGGCTGTAAAGTCGGTGACCAGGATAAGACTTGGGCTCCTCTTTATTGTTGTGAAATTTGTGCTCGACGTCTTACAGGGTGGATTAAAGGTGAACGTCATATGCCTTTTGCGGTTCCAATGATATGGAGGGAACCTAAAGACCATTCTTCAGACTGTTATTTTTGTTTGACAAAGACTACAGGTATTACATCCAAATCAAGACATACAGTTGAATATCCAGATTTGCCTTCTGCTATGAGACCGGTTCCTCATAGTGATATTTTAGCCTGTGCCACAGCCTCTTGAAAATGTAATATTTAGTGACGATGATTCAGATAGACGAGAGCTACAGTCGGATGACACAAATTTTGAAGCAGGTGATTCATATGAACCTCATTTGTTAACCCAAGGAGATTTGAACGACCGCGTACGTGATTTAGATTTATCAAAAAAAAAAAAACAGAGTGAACATTTAGGCTATAGGTTAAAAGGCTGGAATCTTCTGCATCAAGGCACAAAAATGTGCTTTTTTCGCGAACGTCAAGATGAATTTCAAGATTTCTTTTCACAAGAGAATTATTTAGTATATTGCAATGATGTTGTTAGTCTAATGGAAGCGCTTGGTCTAGACTATGATACAGAAGAGTGGCGTTTATTCATTGATTCTTCAAAAATAAGTTTGAAAGCTGTTCTCCTTCACAACGGAAATAAGTTCCCATCAGTGCCAATAGCACATGCATCCAACATGTAGGAGACTCACGAAAACATGAAACTGCTTTTGAAAAAGATAGAATATGAACGATACGGTTGCAAAATATGCATCATTTGAAAGTCATTACTCTCTTGCGTGGATTACAGCTTGGATATACAAAATATTGTTGTTTTCTGTGTGATTGGGATAGCAGAGATAGAGAAAGGCATTACATTAAAAAAAGCTGGCCAAACCGTGAAATCTTTACTCCAAGACATAAAAATATTGTAAATCCTCCCCTGATCGATTCAGAAAATATTTACTTACCACCATTACATATTAAACTGGGATTATTACGAACTTTTTAAGGCTATGGATCGAAATGCCAGTGGATTTGCCTACCCAAAACAAAAATGTTCTAGCATAAGTGATGCGAAAATTAAAGAAGTCATTTTCGTTGGACCTCAGATTCGAGAATTGCTGCAGGATGGAAATCTTCAAAATAGTTTGAATGAAGTTGAAGCAGCAGCATGGAATTCCTTTAGAAACGTTTGCTAGAACTTCTTAGGAAGTGTCAAGGTTGAAAATTACCGACACATAGTTAATGATCTGTTGCTATCCTACAAGGCACTGTGATGTAACATGTCTCTCAAGATCCATTTCCTGCATTCACAT